TTCTTTGGAGATCTTTAAAACCCGCTTGGATGCAGCCCTGTGCCACGTGCTCTAGGTGACCCTGTGTGAGCAGGGGGGTTGGACTCGATGACCTGTGAGGTCCCTTCCAACCTTCGGCATTCTATGATTCTATGATTCTATGATCATGTTTCAGAGGRTGCTGCTGCTTGACAGTAAGCAAGAGGTTGAGCATGCGAGCATGCTCTTTTAAGAGCATGGGTAAAAGGGCACAAGTGCCCTGAGTTAACATTGTTAGCTACTTATGAGAAACATGACTAACAGCTACTAGCTAAGCACCTTCCTCTGCTGCCAACAGCCAAATCACTTTTATTGAGGTAGCAGTTGCAGGATTCAATAGTGCAGAGCTTCACAGCATCTCCCTGCTGGCAGCAAGAGAAGAAAATGCTTCTCAGGTTGTTACCTCCTACCAATGCCGTGGATAAGTGCAGTTCTTATGGCATACAGTTCCTTTAAGCTGCACAGAAAACAGAGTCAAAAATTACCCCACTTGTGACAAATCAAAAATGATTACTTGAACATATGCAAAGCAAGTTTATTGTAAAGGTTTTCGGGTACAAGCCAAAGCAGGGCCACAAAGAGCAAGAACTTGTAACTTGCATATTCTGATCATGGTACAAGATTTCAAGAAAAACTGTTTAACAGCATTTGTTTTAGAAACCCTTTCCCCATGGTCAGCTACTAGCTGCGTATGGTAAGAATGAAGATTTGAGRAAAAGGAAAATATGTATTTGCAGTATCCTAATTTTCCTCTTTCTCACTTTAACAACTTAAAAATAGATTTCTTTGGATTTAGCAGGCTCTGCTAGTATGTCACTTAGAACCTGCATCATCAAGATACTAGACTGATGAGTAAAAAATAGTTTTTTGTATTCACTAATTGTGCAAACTTAGTGCTTGATCTTCAGCCTTCTATAACACCCCGGAAGACTTTGGGCAAGGGCTGAGCTCTAAAGCTTTACCCAAATATAAGAATCATCTCACCCCACAGTCTTCAAGGATCCCGTTTAAAAACCTTTCATATTTTAGAGCTAGAGTTCTTTGAAGCTCTGTTCTACTTGTCAGGAGGATTGCAACAATGAATATGCTTCTACTTTCAGAAGTTACAGCTATAAAAGCTCATTGCACACATGCCTATTTAAATTTAACAGACTGTCCATAGACTCCATATAAATGGAGACAGCCTGCCACTTTAGAAAAGATTTTAAAAAGCAGACAGCCAACTCTATTCCAGTGTCTTTTTCTTCCTTTTAAATACAACCTTTTAGTATATCCTTTGGTATAGTTTTGTGTTTGGTCTCCCTCTGAACGGAAATTCATTAAGATTGTCTAATACGACTATAAAAAATAGTCAAGGGCATTCCTATGCCCTGCACATTGGAGTGCAGAGGTGTAAAATTTCTGCTCTTGCATTTGTAGATGGAAAGAAGCAGCTTTCCAGCCTTAAGAATAGTAGAAGTAGCCCACAGGCTATGGAAGGAAGTTCTGCTGGCCTAACCGCAAGAGGCAGAGAAACAGACACTGCATCATTTCCAATGCTAAACCCACCCTTTAGGGAAAGAAAGGGAAAAAGGAAGCCTGCTTCTTTTCACGTAGTGTAATTCTTCAGAAAGGTGTGCACTTGCAGCTGCCTTAACTGTGTTTTTAAAGGCCTATCAGCTCTCCTTGACAGTGGTTGCAGCAGTTGAAAGTTACATCTTCGTATCTTGTATAGGGGTGAAACCTTCCAATGCACTTTGTAGAGAGAAAGGAAGAGGGAGAAGTCTCAGGAAAAGATGTTGATGTTTCTGTACATGCAACTGGATCCAGTACGTGTAGCACCTGTGGATGGAAAAATCCATGATGAAAATACATCTAAGCTCATGAAATGTACCTCTCTCTAGCAGAAAATCTGTAACAAATCTTCAACATTAAGTTGAAAATAAGGTAGGCATCTATGCAAATCCTCAAYATAAAAATATTAATTAGCATTTTTATAGCATTTTAAAATATTAATTAGTGATGTCCATCAGAAGTTTGAGGTACCATTTTGAGTGTTTCTTTTAAAGCTGTTTCTAAACAGATGAGCAGCAAAACCAGCATACTAGAAAATGCCTTCTGCTGCTCAACTACTATTCAATTGCTTCCAGACTAAACCTGTAGATTAGTATACTCTTTAAATACTAAGTCTTAAGGCAGTGGAGAGCCCATCCTGAAAGATAATCATAAAGCACCTCCGTCTCTTTCCATTCATTGCCAATAAAACTCTTTTGAGGACCATAAAAAACACTGAAGCATTATGTTAATAACCCAAATACGTTTCTTCTCCCATTCAGCTTTTAAACTCAATTAAGTATTTTCAGCTGGCTTCCYTCTGACATACTAACTCTGAACAAATGTTGACCCAGTCCTTTGCAGTGCTGGTGACAGAGGGCAACAGCACCCATCATTTCCTCAAGAGAAAACAGCTCTATTCAGCACACTGCCCTTGCATATATATCTGTTAGAAAAGACAAAGCATTTAAGTAGCTGGCACACCACAACCTTGTTCTTCAGAAAACAGGCACCTGGGCTGTGAAATTAGGTGATGTGAAGGGGTTTTTACCATTTCAGCCATTTTCTCAGCTGGAGTACTGGAAAGCTCCACAGGTGCTGAAGTCTTTTTTGGACTGTTAGTGCCAACATCGCCAAGAAGATGCGAGCTTAGGGCTTTGGCCAGCTTGCAATTCACAGCAGCTAGCTCTGTCGTAGTGTGAGGCTGGGCACTGGGATAGTAGGTCTGCTGTCTCCCCCACTGAAGAGAAACCATCAGCTGCTCCAGCAGCCTGTGCAGAAAGGAACATAGCGGGGTTAGTGATTTTTGTACTCCATGCTATCGGCACCCAGAGCGTAGTTCCAAATTCTGGGAAAAGACACTTGTTAACCAAAGAACTGGCTAAAGAATTGACCAAAGAAGTAAGTTTAAAAACAAGTGGGCAAAAAGGATGTTCTCCAAACCAAAGCTTCATCAGCACAGATTCTTCATATTGGTGACAGATAGAAACCTATTATGACACCTGGCAGGAGGAGCATTGAAGAGGTCAACATAAGGATAATAATATATACACCTTTGAAGGAAATACAGAAAACTTGATTTCAAGTCAGTAAGTGATTAAAAACAGAAAAATCAAGACAATATGAAGAATGCCAATTCCATAGCATGCTACTGCTCAAAATTTCCATGCCCACGTGAAGATTACACACATACTATCTTGTTAAACATACCCTCACTAGGGAGAAATAGTTTAGTTTATGTCAAAGAACCACCCAAACAGATGGGGCAGACAAAAACCCGAAACATACTTCTGTGTATGAATCATTTCATCACGGAACTGATCRCGTTCGTTCAGCAAGTCCTGGATGGCGCTCTGAGCATCCCTTGTTTGACGCTGCAGAATTGCTCTGGAATGGGTCAGCTCGTCAGCCATAACCCTGCAAAAGAAGTTTCCAGTCAGTAACTTACATAAGCCCTGTGGAAGTCAGCTGTGTTTGCTACAGACAACGATCTGCCAGCTCTAACTAAGCTGGTGTCTCATCCCACTCCACTGTGGGGTGTCTTATCAACCTAATTGCAAAAGGCCTATTAAGAGCAATTTCTGCTTTATTACTACATTGAACATGAAGTGACCATACTAACAATACTACTATGTTATATTGTTGCTATGCTTTATTTGCTAAGTTAAAATTATTTTATGTCATTTCATAAAGATGAAGTAACAGACACTTTAAAATACCTTGGGTAAATGAACATATTGAACAAATACCCTTACAGATGAAGCTAAATACTTTTTGTTTTACTGGCATTGCTCCCACACGTATGCTGTAATCACAGCTTTTCATATTCCGAGCATCTAGAGTAGGAAGCTACAGCTAGACACTGCAGTTCAGCTCTCAGGGGACATAACAGATGAGCTATGCTCTAGATACAAGCATTTAAGAGTCATGCATAAGACAAGTGCTGTCATATTTTGTTATCTCATCAAAAGATTTGGCACTTATCCCTCAAGCAGGTATTTCAATACCATGATGCTGTAAAGGAACAAAAACATACTGCCATTTTAAAGCTGCCAGGGAGAAACCCAAGACCTAAATGACCCCAGCAAATTAAAAAAAAAAAAAAAAAAAAAAAAATCAAAGGGTGTTACTCTAAGCACATCTCCACACTGCCACAAACCAGAAGGGAGTCGCATACTCCCATCTCAGGGCTGCTATTAATGCCAAAGAAATTAATTAGACTGGGATAGTAACACAGGTCTAGCTAGGACTATCACAAAGAGTTACCATTGACTCCATATGCTAAAGCTGTTCAAGACCAGCAACTTAAAGTGAGAAGACCATCCTCTTACTATTACATTGAAGCAGTAAAACCTTTTCTTAGTAGGCACTAAACACTGCTCATTAAAATTTAATCTAATAGAACATTAAAAAAACACACAAACTATAATGCTGTTTGCACTGTAAGTCATTATCTGCATAAATTGATTTACATTTTGGAAGATGAAAGTCTACTCTGTTGTCAAATAAGATTTTGACACCAACACCAACTTAAGATTTGCTCTTGACTCTTGCTGCTGATTATTTTATAGTTAGAGAAGTAATGGTAGGTTCCTTAACAGCAACACAACCAATAAGTCTTTAACGAAGAGGTCTACATCTTCCATAAAAAGCTGCCCTTTCTAGTAGATCCCTACACCACCGTAAGCAGAGTTTCTGTAAATCCAAACTTCAGAGTCCATGTTGATACAGCTGCTGGGGCTGTCCTCTGCATATATATATGCACACTCAGAGATGCTGCAATGGGTGCAATAAAAGACCAAAGGAGAAAGCTTTAGTTACAACCAGTTCTGCAAGAGCAAAATACCTGCTTGCTAGGAATTTGCTTCGCCACACGTCACACTGTATTGACATCCGCTCCAACTGTTCAGACAGCTGAGACAAATTCCGGCCCAGGACCTCGTTTTCTAAGATTAGCTGGTTTTTCTCACGAGCCATCCGTTCAAAGTGATACTGCAGATCATCCCCAACAGAAGCAACAAGTAATTTCTTCAGCTCCCGATTCACCTGGAATTACACCAGTTTTACAGTGGCTTAATCATCACACTGTACATCAAAGCAAACAAACAAACAAAAAGACCTGCACCCCTTTTACCTTCTAATTGCACTTTAACTTATTGAAAATATGTGGCTACCAGTTGTCTTTTTCTTTCCAGATCAAGACACAACTTATGTGAAATCTTATGTTACCTCATGATCCACTTCAGGGAATACAAACACTTAGAATTAATACATGTTCAAGACATCCTTATTTAAATGATAAGTCATTAAACTATATCCAAAGAGGAGAAATGAAATCTCACTGTAAGTAACAAAGAAAGTTGCAGTGGCATTCAAGTCCTCAAGTGGTAAGATAAGGGATTAAACAAGACATCCACAGGGAATTTTAGGTAGAAATCATGTATTTTATAACATCATTCACTTACAAGTTGGATTGAGGAATCATTTCTAGTGACAGGCACATTTCTCAGCAGCTTACTAATGGCTTTCTCCCCACTTCAAGAATTTGAAGGTTTTATCTGCTGGTGAAGAACTACTACTACTTACAGTGCAGTTCTACTCCAGATGGAAAGTTCAAAAGCCCAAGTACTTATCACAAGGCAGAGCACTTCTGTCATAGCAGTTCTTTGTTTTCATAAACTGTCCCAACAAACTTGTGTGAAAGCAATGCCCTGCAAAACATTTAATTTCTTACCTCTGTCTGTACACGCAGCTGATTAGAGAGACCTTCTTTATCCTGCAACAGCCTCTTTTCTGAATTTTTTAGTTTTTCTACAGCATTTTTAAGCTCTTGCAGTTCTTTGGGACCTGCAGCTCCATCAGACTGATGGAATGAGTCTCCTTTGTGTCCCACTGATCTAGCTACCTTGGCATTTTTCGTTGGAACAACATGGGTGATAGCTGCTTTGGGCACTAATATACGAACTGCTTCGATCTCCACTGATTTATCAGCATGTATTTTCCCAAGCTGCAAAACCCCAGGACTCAGGGAAGAGACAGTCTTTTTATGTGGGCTGTGGTGGACGTGATGGGTTGTAGCCGGGGCTCCAGTGATGACCTCCACCGACTCAGGTGTCTGTTCCGTTTCCATGCCATCTCCAGGACCTCGGATGGGTGATGAGGCATCATCAACTACAATTCAGAAACACAGGAGGAAAAGTTAACTTTCTTTTATCTAACCTTCTTATCTTTTATCTTTAGCTCACTGTAACTCCCGAGTTTGAAGTGCAGAAACGGAGTTTCTAAGTTAGACATTTGGATTTTTACACAGCGTATGCAAGTCACTTCTTTCCTGCAGCAATTGTCCAACACAAGTCAGAAATCCACGCAGACAATCGTCTATTCAATCTTGTCACATTCATTAATACCGCTAATACAAAACCCAGTCATTAATCCGAGTTGTATTGATCTTCGTTTCATGCTGACATAACAGAACAGATAGATGCAAATATGAAAGGGAGCTAGTAAGGAGAAAATTTGTTTGGCAATATTATTCATAGAGCAAAAGCAAACTTCAGGTTTGGGGAGCTGACAGAACTAGAGCAGTCTCACTTCAAMACCAATATCACTAAGTGAACTGCAGCTGCTTGCTACATAGCTACTGAGAACYTGAGAAGTCTAGCAGCCTGTCAGTACTGCTATCATGTCTGTTGTCCAGATGAAGGTTTAAGAAAAACCAAACAYTTCCACTTCATTTCTAATCAACTGTCTCCATTCTTCTTAGAAATGCCACACTCTGATCTCAATTTCTTAATGTGCATCGTAAGTTAAATGAACTTCAACTAAATATGAAAATAATTTTAAATGAAGCTTAGCATAGCTCTGCTCTTTAGAATTCAAGTTTAGATCTAGGCAGACAGAATTAAAGCTATGTGAGCCACTTACCTTTTCCTAGAGATGTCATTTTCACTTTAGTTTAATAGTCAGCACAATTAACTTCGTAAATCTGAGGAAAAGGAGAGAAAGGGGAAAAAGGTGTTCGTAACAGTGACAATCCTGGGTTACCCTCTTGGCTAACAGAGACTCTAAACTCCAGTTCAATAGCACGGGGATGCCCTCTTTACCTGAGGGAGGAACACCATTTAATCCAAAAAACAAAGCAACACCAATTCTGAAGAGCTAAAAGGAGAAGGCTTATGGGACTCTTGGCATTTGCTTCTCTTTCACAGGAGCTGGACTTCAACTCCTGGTCCTTGTTTCCCATCCAGATCCAATCTTCCTTCTTCAAATTTCTCTTTCCAGAGAAATTTCCCTACCCTYTCTGAGTTAGTCCTCATCCTGCTTGCAGGGTAGGATTCATGACCATGCAAACATAATTCAAGATTATCACACAACCTCAAAAAAGGGAAATTATCTCTTGATGAAGGCGGATTAAGAGGCAAAGAGACAATATTGCTTGTTGATCSTTTTTCTTTTCTTTCCCCCTTCCAAGTAGAGCAAATCCCCAGTCGAACCAGGAGTGAGGGCCCTCTGCGGCAGCACGGACTTAAAAATTAAGTCAGCAGCAAAACAGTCCAGAATAGTCCAACAGTCAGAACAGCCCAAATCATCACTCTGACCATTTTCTCTCTTATCCACCAGCTCCATCAACCCTTTTCTTCCTTATGCACCTGGCTCCATTCACTCCCAACTCTACCGGTCACTTACCAGATTTCTAGGACTGTCACTAGTCCTGTTCCTTTCTCTGCTTTCTGAAACCCTGTTTTGCTTTTCCGTTCACTTCTCCCAGGTATTCAGAGGACTTCGGATAGACCTCCCAAAGTCCTCAGCTCTTTTTATTGAAAAGCTTGAACTACAACGTCCTTGGCTTCCCTTGCTACGGCTTTCTGCCTTGAAAAGGAAACAGTGACAGAGCAGACACTACTGCCACCTTTCTAGATCCATGACCTGTTTTGTGACAGGCCGGCTTATCTTAGGCGATTAGCACAAGGAAAAGAAAAGCAATGTCCCCTCCTAGGATTTACTCAAGGAATACATACAGGGACAACTTGCTCAGAAAAGTAACCCCATCTGCTAATCAGCAATTATGCAATTATCATTGCTCATGCACTTTTGGTTGATCCTAATTCATATGGGGAAAATCAGGATAATGAAAATACAGTATCTTAGAAGAAGGTGAGAAAACTCCATAAATCCTGAAGATGGGTCCTGCCTAATAGGAATAAATCTTGAAGAAGACTTCACTTATTCACTTCAGACTACTTGCTAATGATTTTACTCCTTTGCTGGTCATATCGTGACACTGTCCCGACGTGTTTAAGTTGAAGGTCTCTGCACACAGCACCCTTTTACTACAGGCAAAGCTACCCCACTGCTAATGAAGCCATAAGCACTGGATGTACCAGCAAGACGGCCCCAACAAATACCTGGATGCGCCTTGACTTGCAAGCTCTCTGAAAGCCTCAGAAAGAGCCGTTTCAACATCGCACTCCGCAGGTCTCCGCTCACACCCGATACAGGCAGCCCCGCACGAACAAATCCGCGTAGCACCCGCAAAACCACCGCCAGCCCCTTCCCCTCCCCGTCCGACCCACCGCGGCGAGAGGAGGCGACGCTCCAGCCCCCGAGCTCTGAGCCCAAGCCGAACAAACGGGCCCCGGAGGCGCCCAGGCCGCGAATTCCCAACATGCGGTCCCGCCAGGGCCCCGGCGACTCCCTCGAGCCCAAGGCAGCTCCACAGAGCCCGACCGGGCCCGACGCGTTACCGTAGCGCAGCGGAACCCCGCAACAGCAGCAACGGCAGCAACGGCAGCAACGGCAGCAACAGCCGCCGCTTCCGCTTCCGGCCGCGCGCGTGCGCGAGGGCGGGGGGCGGTGCCTCGGTTGCCAGGAGAGCGGCGGGCAGCGCCGCCATCATGGTGAGCGGGGCCGGGAGCGGTAAACGGGCCACGGGCCTGGGGCGGGGAGACGCGCGTTGAGCGGCTGCTCTTCCCTTAGTTCCTGCCTGGATCTGCGGCCTGAGGGAGGGCGAGGGGCAGGAGGCTGCAAGGGAAGTGATGGGATGTCGGCTGGACACGCAGTTGAGGGCCCTTTGCCSACGGAGGAGCGAGCTCGGGTGTTTTACAGCGCTGGGAGGAAACTTGGGGGCAAAATTTCCCCCCAGGCACATTTTTTTAATATATATAATATATTATATATATATATATATAATATTATATATATATAATATATATATAAAATATATATTTTATATATATTTTATATGTATATAAAGGTATATATGAGGYAAGTGCAAGAGACAGGTGCTCAGCTTTAAATCGCAGGGGGTTATGTAGGTGAAGCCCATGCTGTGCTGTAGCTCTCGCTGTGCCTGCCCTACGCTTCCCACCTGCCCCTGGTGTGTGAGGCTGCATCACATGTGGCCAGCTGGGTCTGTAAAGTGGCACCGCATCGTACAGCAACCCCTAATGTGACTCCTAAAGGCAGATTTATCTATCTATGTATTTATTTATTTTCTGAAAAGCCTCCATTGACAGGAACTACGCGACCCCATGGCATCATTTTCTTATTTCATTTATAGTTCACCGATTTTTTTTTTTTTTTTTTTTCTTCTTCTTCACTGTTAGGTTACTTCTTGCAACCAGAGACAGTGATTACCCCTGATGGGTCTGAAGGTATCCCAAGGTATCCCACTGGTCTTTTACATGTGGGAGACCTTGCAGATCATCACTTTGCCCTCTCTTCTCTTTATGTAATTACATACGTTAAACACATTTTGCCCTTTCCGTGTTTTCCTATTGATCGTGTGTCACGAAAGTTTACATTTGTTTTTACCTTTTCCGTTTCCAGTTTTCTTCAAATTAAAAATTTAAACTCAACATTATACATCAACTGAGATTTCACTAATGCTAGACAGAGCAAAATACTTGTCTCTTGTGTCTTAGAGCCTGTTAGTGGCAAATGTGCCATTATTTATTCTTCCAGTTTACCTCCTTGGGCTTTGCTTTCTAACTGCAAGCCACTGTAATTCAGATTTTTTTTTGACCTATTTTCCTCCGTTTTGTACTTCAGTGGGATTTCTTGATTGTCATTGTAGTACTTTGTTGAATTTCACATCATTTCTTGGTTAGTAACATCATTTTGGATTCTACTTCTGTATGCAGTCTCTCCCAGGTTGGTACCAGTCCAGCTTCTGGAAGTGCATATGCTCTGTTCCAGTGCTACAATGAAAGTATGAAATAATGGCAGATATGAGACTGATTTCTCCTTACTCCTTCTTATAGTATTTATAACTCTTTAACTCAGGCCACGTTTCCCTACTTTTATGGTCRAGGTGTCTGATAAATTAGGTTAAAAGCCGTATCAAAAGCAAATATGTCACRTTTATGGATTCTCCATTACTCAGTAGATTGTTTGCCATGTTGGAAAAGGAATGTATGTGATAGGGTTAGTTCCTGACAAATTCACATTATCTGCTTTTGATTATTGTATCATCTTCTAGATGCTCAACGACTGGCTGTTTAATAACTAGTTCCATTATTATCCCCAAGGTTTCTAACCAAGGATAGGTTTCTCTTTTGCTAAGTTAGTTATTATGTTTTCCCTTGTCCAGAGCCCTGCAATTCTCCCCGCAGAGCAGCTCAAAGATATCAGCGTTCTGGGCTTTCTTTGCTTAGTGTCCTGAGTACATCAGGGACCATTTTCTGTGCTCACCTGAGCAGGTCTAACTTCTTGAAACAGCTCTTTATTGAACTGTGCTGCACTCCTCTTCCCCTGTTAAAACAGGCTACCTCTCTGGTTGTGACCTGGTCATTTATATCTGTGCACCTGGGTAAGATGAGGTGAGTGTACCAGTTTCCTCTGGGTTGTGTTTTACCTGTTCTTTTTCCCTGTTATGTGACTGAATACTCTTGTTTTTCTCTGCCTTTTATGTATTACAGAGTGCTGTTGGTTTCTTTTATAGCTATAAAGTTGCCAGCTTTCCTCCTTAGACATCCTTCCTCTTAACATTTTCTTAAAACACAGTAAGAGAATTTTGGTAGCTGGAAAATGATGGGAAAACAGATGTTTTGGGAATATTTTCTACTCAACTAGATCTGTAGGCTGCATCCCAGGAAAGCAGTGAATTATGCATTTGTTGGACGCTACAACTTAGGCACCTGAGCTGTGCAAAACATTTTCAAGACAACTTTTCTCAGAAACAGTGAATTCAAAAATGAATTCAAATCTTGTTTTAACAAGCCAAATTTGATCTTCAGGAACCTAATTCTATTCTGACAGTAATGGATTTTCTGGTGGAAAGTTTGTCAAATCCTTAGAACTGTGTTGTTCCCAGGCAGTAGTATAAATTAAGAATTGTCATTGGTTAGAACACATATCAACATAGCAAGGACGGCGGAGAGGAGAAAAAAAAAGCCCCAAACTACTACAAAATCACAGCCACAKAAAGAAAAAAAAAACTTGTAATTGATTCATTTTTACACTAGCATCACTAATGTATTAAAAACAAATGTATTTAAGCATATTTGTGTTGGTCCCTTATACTTCAGTCACATTCAGTCAGACTGGAAACTGTGTGTGTTGTGCAACTGGGTGCATCCTTCTGGTGCAAGCCAAGGTAAGGAGTGATGTTCTGAAGCCTCCTGTATGTCTTTGACCTTCTCTAGGCAGCATGTTGGCATAGAGGTCTACTCCTTTTGGCAGGCAGATGTTGTAGTCGTTGGGTGGCATTTTCTCAAATCAACCTGATGTGTTTTGGGATCATGATTATATACAGTGAAGTGTGCCTGGGGTGGACTGAGTGACGGATCCTGTAGAGGAATCTTTGTCTTGGCTGCTGGAAATGGCTCTTCTTTAGTGGTAGCATTGATGTAATCGCCTGCAGAGAACCCTGGAGCCTCATAAAAATACTAGTTAATTTTTATGGATGAATTTGTTATGCTCTGATACATCTGAAACACTTTCAAGAAGAAATACAACCTCTTGCATCCAAGCATCTCACTATATAGATGCAGGGTGTTTGTGTACGTAGGGGCAGCTGTATGCTTGCATTTCCCTCCCTTTTTAAAACAACAATTCGTACCTCTGCACATCTGACATCTGCAGACCATGTTATAAACAGTCCTTCAACATTRGATATACAAGTACTGTCTCCATTTTGCATGTAAAGAAACTGAGGCTCACAAAAGCCACCTGATTTGTTTCCTATCATGCCAAACCTGAGGCTTTGATTCTGTGAATGTGGGAGCATGTGTTTAGTGGCATGGGAGCTTCCAAATAGCTTAGTGCTCTAGCTTATTGGGAGAGTATTGATGTGAGGAAAGAAAAAACATATGTTTCAAAGCAACTTTGGTTTGTCCACGGAAAAGACTTATTTTCTCTTTTGGAAGATGAGTTTTAGAGAAGAGGAGGCAATTCAGCTATTCCTAGAGCTCAACCCTGGTTCCTTGGGCTCCAGCATATCTTGTGATTGTGTTTTCATTGAAGCCATTATAAAGGTAATGCAACTAATGAGGCAGCTGTGGATTATACCCTTGTTTATTGGAGCTTCATTTGGAACCAGTAATTTTGACCATATTTGATTAGCTGGTTAAAGGTGGGTTAACTTTGCTGAAGATGTGTCATTCTGAGCTGATTGTGTGAACAGTCAAAACCTCTACCAAGAGATTTTCCTAAACAAGTGTGTATGTATAAAATAACTTTTATTTTAGCTGTTTTTACCTCTATGTGTTTTTTGTTACAAAACAGTTTTTCAAAAAAGGATTCCTTCTTTCTTRCTCTTCCCAGAAGAGGAGTGAAACCTCCCCAAAAGACCCTTTTCTAGCCCTTAGGAAGATCTGCACCTGTGCTCGGACAGCAAAGCTCTGTTTCCCTACAACACAGGTCAGTGACCTCGGAGCTTTCTCAGCTGTGGTGTGACAGTGGCCTGGCACTTCCAGCTGTCAGCTTGCCTAACTGAACCAGCACRGAGGCAAGTTTCCTCACTTAACAGCTGTCTATAATACACAGCATTTATTCACAGGTAAAGCAGTGTRTGCAGTGTGAGGGGAAGAAGCAAGAAGAAATTTACCAGTCTTTAACTGCTTGTGGAATGGTGAAACTTCATATAGACCTTTGTGAAAATATAGCAGGGTTCCTTAGTGTTGCTAGGTTGCTTCTTGGACAGTTAGGCAATGTGTGTTGCAGAATGTATGGCTGATAAAATAACAGGCTCTTGTGCAAGCCAAATGAAAGCAGCTAAAAGAGTGCAGCTTTCCTATGAGATACACCCTATAGAGATCTGCTGGATCTCCTTTTGTCCATGTTTATKATGTTATGTGCTATATAAAATAGAACATAAGACTGTATGCATATATGAAGTGGGCAGAATCTATATAATAAGTTATCCTTTTTGTAGCTAAGTCTTGGCTTACAGAAGTTGTGTTCTTCCTAAAAGTAATTTTAAATTCACTGATCATCTGTAAGGATGATGTGGCAGAACTAGATGATAGTCCGGAAGGCAGARCTTTCTAGCACCACCTAATGTTAGATTCTGTGTTAATTAAATGCTGGTTTTTCACTTAGTGCTGTCTCTTAGGCTCCTTCAGGTTGCAGGTACCGGCCTTTGTTYGATGGCAACCTGTTTTCTCTAAGCCAGGGGATTAGTGAATCCATGAAAAGCTTTTTGACTGTTCAGCTCAGCATTTAATTGCAAGTTTATAAAAAAAGTG